GTTTTGACCCATTCCTTTTCTCCTCTCTCCTCGTCATACTTGCAATGGATTTATGTTCCATCACTTGTCTCATTTTCGGTAATTTGGACGATTTTAATTACGCTAAGATATTCCAAGAATTTTATTTTGTTTTTTTTTTCTGGTGTAATTATATTTATTATTATGTTTTGTTTTGCCACGCCAGATTTGGATGACACGTTGTACCCTTTGAAAACGGGCTTAGCCGCAGCTGTTAAGAAAAACATCGACGGTACAATTTAATAATGCATGGAATTATGTCGCAATCGTATTTTTCCTTTGTTATATAAAGAATATTATGATTATCTAATATTTTCTGGGCAGATTTTCTGGTGGAGAGATTTGGATTCTCGGAAAGTAAAGCCTCGAGCGTGAGAGTTGAACTCTTCAAGACTCACGGAAGCACTCTCGCCGGTCTCAGGGTAATTTCGCCACCCATTATATTTCATATTTAAATCAAACACAAATATATATATATATATATATATATATATATATATTGTCGAATAATAATTTTTATTTTTTATTTTAATTTTCCTACTTGTTGCAATTGCAGGCGTTGGGTCATGACGTCAGCCCCGATGATTACCACAGGTAAGGAAGAAAATTAATTCACTTTCCTTTTCATTTTCTTTGAAATTAACAGAGAAATTTTACATGAACAATCATGGCAGTTTCGTGCACGGGAGATTGCCGTACGATGCCATCGAACCAAACAGCAAGCTTCGAAACCTTCTTCACAGAATCAAACAGAGGAAAATCGTGAGTTGATCCCCACCCAAAAATTAAAAAAATAAAATATCGAAATTAAAAAAGTGTTTTTTTTTTCTATTCTGACCCTTTTTTTTTCTTCTTCGTAGATCTTTACGAATTCGGACAGGAACCATGCAACGAAGGTTCTGGAGAGATTAGGACTAGAAGATTGCTTCGAAGAGATAATATGCTTCGAGACCATGAACCCTTCTCTCTTCGGGTCGACCCGACCCGACCAACGCCGCCCTGTCGTTCTGAAACCCTCTTTGGCCGCCATTGATATCGCCCTCCGCCTCTCCAACGTCGATCCTCGCCGAACGGTATCATTACGTACCCTATATATATATATATATATATAATTTGATTATTGCGTCTTTAACTTATTGTGATTTTGTATTTTTTTTAAACAGCTGTTTTTGGATGATAATGTCCACAATGTTGCTGCTGGCAAATCTGTCGGCCTTCGGACTGTTCTGGTACATAATGAATCTGGTTTCTGAATGATTTTTATAAATTATCGCATTCGATTATAGATCATACCATTGATTATGAAATAATTAATAAGCATATATACCTAACAAAAAGTGACAAATATGTAATATCAGTTCATGGAAAAATGTGTGTTTGGTGAAGGTGGGGAGGTCGGAGAAGACGAAAGAGGCCGATTACGCGGTGGAGATCGTGACCGAGATAGCTACGGCGGTGCCGGAGATTTGGTCGGCGGAAATGGACGGTCGTGATCAGAGGATCAGACGGTCCAAAAGCGAGCTTGACGCCATGTCAACTGCCATCACAGCCGTCGGTGCGTAGCCGTTGGATCAGGGGAACCGACAGATCGTGACCGTCCAATGTTTTAATCGTTCGTTTGTAGCTTGTTTGGTTGTACAAATGGCGTCGTCAAATAACAATGACACACGTATGCCTGTAGATGCGTGTGTATGTATATGTATGTGTCAATAAGTGATGTAAGGACATGGAGATGCTGTCGTCATCCCATGTGGACGCCAAATGTGAATATGCGCTGACAAATGGAATGCAAATTTGTATGGCAACCATGTTTATATGCATTTTTTTTAATGTATGTGTATAATAATAATAATAATTGTGATAAATAAATAATTATTACATGGAATTTGTCTCAAAGATGAGAAGGAATTTTAGGTACTTGTCATAATATTCTCGTAGACGTGTGAGATCCGAAGGAGAGGTGGTCGGGCATTTTTATCGAGAATATATCGATGGTGGTGGCATTGATTCTGACCCAACTCAGTGAGTGAGAGAGCGAGTTCTAAGCAATCGGTAGTTAATGCTACAATTTGTTTAATTGTAGCTTATCCATTGGAATTTGATTGGTTAATAGTTATCACCAATAAATCGGGTTATATTACCCGGTTTATTATTAAACCGGAATATCATAACCAATATTTATCCAAGTTTTTCCTGGAAACGGGGAACAAGCTGAAACTCTACCAACGAAACAGGGATCTCTTTGTGGTCGCTCTCCTGGAACATTGGAAAAGATTTATCCTTTTGTGTTCCTCATCGAGATCGAGTTTGGAGTGACTCCAAACCCATTTCAAAGCAAAGATCTTTTGTCGTGTCGGACAGGTTCTCCGATCAATGTTTGCATTCGCATCCGTCTGATTTTCTGTCAAAACCGACCCATCTCGTCGAACCGTTCGGAGCCGACGCCGACTCGGGAGGACCCGCGAATTCCTCATATCTGAATCGATCGTGAATTTGGGTGTAGCGCGTGAAGGACAGATGGGTTCTGGAAAAAGGGCTTCTTCCAGAAATTGGGCGATCTCAGGTAATTTTCTGGTTCCCAAAGCTGCATACTTTAGGGTTTTTTCGTTTGTAATTGTTTCGAATTTTCGAATGTGCGATTTCATCTCGAGCTTTATTGTTTTATATCGGTTGATTCCTTTGCATTTATCGGGTCTGATGGCTCGAAATCGATCAGTAGTTGGTTTTCGTTCATACGTTTTCTCCTTTTGAATGCCGTTTCTCTTATCTTCTTATTCAAACTTACGAATCCATACGTTATAGAGGTATCTATAGTACTTATGATAATGTGGATACGAAAGTTTGTTTACGCGTCTCTGTCCGTTTGATTGATTCACGGGCAAACCCGTGATCTTATTATTATTGCTAATGATCTTCCGAAATTAACAGGAAAATTATGAGTTTGAACTCAATCCCTCACCATGAATTTTGTTTGGTAATAAGTACATGTATCATGTGGACAAGAATATGTTGAGAGAATGGTCAGAACTATATGTTGAGAAATCCTTGCCCCCTGAGATTTAGATTAGAGATCTTGTGTTTTCAGTTCAAGTCTTTGACTTTAATGTTGTAAGGGAGCAGGAGCTAGTAACTTCGATGTTGTTATGCCACATTGAAGTCACGTAGCATCGAATTCTTTATTGCGTGTTAGATCTTTCGCCCTTCAGATGAACCGAGTTGGTCTCTGGCATATAAGATTTTGTCGCAGAAAAGTTAAGGGCGAAATCACAATTCGAGAACATGTGTTAGTGTTAGTCTGATACCTGTTGTAATTCCAACCTGATGACTTGTGTTTGTTTTAGATAATTGCTCCTGTGCTTGCCACTTTGAAGCTAATTGGACACATCTTGTCATCCCCTGCTGTATTAGGGACTTGATTTTCGAAGTTTTTCTGAATTGAGATCCTTTTCGTGTATTGGCAAACAGAGCAAATCCTTGTGTCCTGTCCTGTGTTTTACATCCTTTGTTATGGTGAAGGTCACTAGAAATTTCAGTGAAGATGAACACTTTATCTTTCTTTCTTGTTCAATTAGTGATTGATAGTTCTTTGGATTTGCAGGTTTGCATGAAAAGCATCAACAGGATCTAGAAAAACTGACTCTGACCACACAACCCTTGAAAACCTTGAAGTTCTTTACCATTGCTGTTTCGTTATACATTAGAAAATCTGCACTGTATCTTCTTTCCAAAGGCCGATGGCTTCTGCTTTTTAGTACCGCCATCTTAGTGCTTGGAACTTTGCTTGTGACGAAAGATGGCCCACACACAAAGGTAAAAAAATTTACACTGATGCTGCTTAATGCTATGTATGCTTTTCTTCACAATAAGTCAGTTTTTGTACAATAGCAAGTTTACATATCGCAACTAAAAGAAAGAGAATCTGATATCGTAGAAAGGAGGCACAACTAATGCTACTTGCAATGCTAAAAATCCTTATGCATGTTGAAAGTTAAAGAATTATGATCAATGTAATTGTTTCCCTTTTCTATGTCGGCTTTATAACTCGGGCTTCTCTGCTTAGATGAAGTTAATAGCATTAAGTCCCTTCCCTTTCCACCTGCAGCCTCTCGAAGAACTGTCTGAGTACTTCCGATTTGGACTATGGTGGACCGCTTTAGGTGTTGCATCCTCAATTGGTCTTGGTAAGAATGAAACTTTATTGAATTCCTATGCAAGTTTCTTCTTTATTGATAGTATGTTACTAAATATTCGTAGAGAGGTCTGGAAAGTTAGCACGAGTTCTATTATTATCTCGCCCGGAAATGTTTTGGTGAATTTATGGCGTACCCTTATCTTCCTTTTTGTTTGTTGTAATTCTCAGGATCTGGCTTGCATACCTTTGTTCTATACTTGGGTCCTCATATCGCATTGTTTACAATAAAAGCAATGAAGTGTGGGCGAGTTGATTTAAAAAGCGCTGTATATGACACAATACAGTTGAAGAGAAGTCCTTCATGGCTCGATAAACCTTGCCATGAGTTTGGCCCCCCTGTTTTCTCGTCAAGAGTTCCCCTTAGCAGCATATTGCCTCAGGTTCAGGTAGAGGCCGTCCTTTGGGGTCTCGGGACTGCTTTAGGCGAACTTCCCCCTTACTTTATCTCGAGGGCAGGTGGATAGTTTGTTTTCACTCTTTTTCCTATCAATTCTTTTTTCAGGTTTTTGAAGTTTAGCCCTGTAACTGATTTCTAAGGGTTGATATCTGTGGTGCAGCAAGTATTTCCGGTGAAAAGATGGAAGAGTTGGATACCTCTTCAAGTGAAGATTCTGGATTCGTTGCTACTCGTCTTAACCGAATCAAATGCTGGCTATTGTCACATTCTCAGTACCTCAACTTCTTCACAATTCTTGTTCTTGCTTCGGTACGTTTAAAATGAGCCCTGTAACAAAACTGCTTCGTACAACTGGCTTTCGAGTCTTTCAGTTACCAGAAAGCTTACTATCTGCTTCTTTCTATATGATTGTTTTGTGCTGCATTCATTGCAGGTCCCTAACCCGTTATTTGACCTTGCGGGCATCATGTGCGGACAATTCGGGAAATCGTTTTGGGAGTTTTTCCTTGCAACGTTGATCGGGAAGGCAATCATCAAGACACACATACAGGTTGCTTCCACTGTCTGTTTGATAATATAGTTTTGACCCATTCCTTTTCTCCTTTACTTAAAAATGATCTTAAAGGACTCGTTTCAATCTCATATTGCAGACGGTTTTCATCATATGCGTGTGTAATAATCAGCTTCTGGACTGGGTTGAGAATGAGCTGATATGGGCTCTTGGGTTCGTGCCCGGTTTGGCTTCAGCCTTGCCTGAGCTGACAGCCAGACTCCATTTGATGAAAGAGAAGTACTTGGTCGCCTCTCCTCCATTAGCATCTGATATCAAGGTTCTTTCTTTATCTCTCTTGCAATGCATACATGGGATTGGATTGGATTGGATGTTGAATGATTTAGGGTTTTGTCGGTGGTCAGGCGAAGAAGTGGGATTTTTCGTTGGCGTCGGCGTGGAACGGAGTTGTGTGGTTGATGCTTCTGAATTTCTTCGGACAGATCGTGACCGCAACGGCTCAGAGGTACTTGAAGAAGCTGCAGGAGAGGGAATTAGATGCCTTGACGAACAAGCCATCTAAGAAGAGATCCTCTTCCTCGAGTTAGTTCCAACTCCAAACCCTAATCGACTGTGCCTGCAATATTCGATTCTCAGAAACTCTTTTCGTCTGGCTGTCAGGGAAACAGATATCGATTCTTTTTCTGTACGGACACACACACATGAAAGATGAAGAATACTTCGAACTGGGTTTTAGTTGTGTTCTTCCTTCTTTTTTTTTTTGGTTGGGAAAACATATTTTAGTGGCAAAAAACTAGAAAAAAAAACATATAATAGAATTTACATTAATAAAAAAACATCAAAGTTGAAATGTTAAATATCAATTCCGATATAATTAACTTAAGGATGTTAGAACCAAACTGGTAAAGTTTTCATAAATTCTAAGCTTAATTAATATCTTTTTTTTCACATTCTAGGTAATTAGCCATTCAGATATAATTAACTATTTCAGAAAGAAAATTTCTTCTTTTTTTTCAAAAAGGATAATCTTTCCATTATTTAATTTTCATATTTGAAAGAATGACATTCGTATTTTTTATATATTAGTTAAATATATTTTCGTGTCAATTAATTGAGTTTTCTTGTCTCTCAAAATCCTGATCAAGAACTCGCTTCTTGATTTTGAATTTAAATCAATATTGGGCCCGTAAGCCCAACGAATCAATCAGGCCGGATTTTGAACGTTGCGCTGTACCCAGTATAACTTTAACCCTCCGTGTCAAGCTATGGAGGCCGAAGCAGGAGAGCCACCATATTCGTCTTCTCCGGCAAAGAGACTCGGCGCCGGTGACGGCGGAGAAGAAGAGAGAGATATCGATGGAAGTGAAAGAAGAAGAGGAAGATAAACTACGTCGTCAGAGGAAGCTCGAAGAAGCGCTTGAAGCCAAATCTCTTCGACGCATCATCAGTGCTTATCTCAAGTACCTATCTCTCTGTCTTTTTTGCCCATTTTGCTTCCCGTTCTTCGGTTCCTTTCTTTTTATATCGTTTTCTCGCCCTGTTTTTCTTTCGCAATATGGAAGTTTTTTTTGGTGGATTTAGGGAGAATTTCTTGTCCAAGTAGAATATCGGTTGAAAATGCCGAATTGATCGGGTTGAACAGTAATCTTGTTTCTCTCGATTCGGAGAATGAATTTATTCGCATGCAGTGGCTGTTCAGCTAACGGGAGACCGGTGAAGGTGATATAGATTTCATTGGAATTTGACAATTGAATTATATATTCAGAAGGGATCGGAAACTGGGTTCTAATTGAAGTTTCGTGAGCACATGTTGAAATGTCTTTTCTACGGATATGCGTTTAGATGAGGCAAATATCTATCGAAGTTGGTGTTTTTTTTAAATCTTTCTGTTTCTGGGATCGCATATATTCTCATAGTAAAGGAATGGAATTTTGATATTGAACTTGTTTGTATTTGAATACTCATACCCACAACTTGTCTTTCTGCCATTATACGTAGGACTCATTTTCTAGTTTGTTTAGTGCTGCATCGTCTAGTTTCTGTCACTTACCGCTATCAAGTCCTCATCCATGGAACCTTTTACAGCTATCCTGAGGCTTCAGAAGAAGATGTCAGAAGATGGGAAAGATCTTATAGGAAGCTGCCTCCTGCCCACAAGGTAATGTTTCCTTGCCTGGTGTGCAGCCTTTTATCGGGAAACATCTGATCCGCCAAGGTTGTATTTGAATAAAGTTATGATCCTTTTCCTTTATACTGGTTGATGTTTATTACCTATATGTGGCATGCCATTCTTTGTGTTAACATATCTGTATTGCGTGGATGCTTTTCATTGGTGTAGTATGTTTTACAATCTGATGTATATGTTTTCAGTGAGCTGTGCTTATGTCCTTGAAATTTATACCCTTGTTTTAGGGCCTTACTCTTTTGGTCACAGTTATTATTTCTGTCTCCTAAAATATCACTTTTCATTACCTTTGGTTCTCTTTGGCAGGCATTGCTGTCCCATTACCCTATTAAATTCCAGGGTTTAAGAAGGTAATTGCTAGTTTGCTGTATCATAATAAAGGACAAATGTATTGGCTGGGATTAGATTCGGAGTTGATTTCTTTTCTAAGTCTATGTTTATAGTCACTTCAAGGGTCAGAGATGAATTTAGACAAGTGTTTTTTTTACTTTCTATATGCATTGTGAAAGAATCCTGAGGACCTGAGCGGTGCTAAAATAACTTGCTAATCTTCTGTTGTTAAAAAATCCGACAATGATGATTTGCCCTTTTAAGAAGGCATGGGTCAGGAGTTATCTGCTGGAATTGAGTCTGATCTTGATTGCCGCCCCTCTTCAACTTCCTAAATACGTGTATCTAATGAATTATGTGAGAGAGGTCTTGCCTGTGTAAATTAGGTTGACCTTACTGCTGCAGGTGCATATCGATGAATTCATATTTCATATTTAACATGCTTCAGGTCAGTCACGGACATTTTCTTCTTTTATTTTTTCTTGGCTCTCTTCATAGTGTCAATTTTTTTGTGATTGATAAAACACGCTGGCCTCATCCTTTTCAGATATGCTAGACAATACAAGCGAGTTATATATGAGTAATAATGCAATTCATGTTGACTTGACAGGCATTTGAGCCTCCTCTAGATCTGAGTCAGGATCTTGACGTTTGTGAAGACTCAAATCTTGACTCTACTCCAAATGATTATCACATCTTAGATGAAAGGCACGACCGTTCTTATCAGCCTGTATCAACAACTGATTGTAAATATCAGGAAACTCAGGGAGGAAGTCAAGACATGTCAGCGACAGGAGTGCCATCTAATGAGGTCAAATTGAGATATGTGAACGATAATTGATTACATATCTCGTTTAGTTATGTATATTATATACTCATTTAGAGACTTGTGGATGAACAAAATTGGATATTGGCAACAGTCGTCTTTATTTTCCTGAACACAGGAGCTCCAAGGCGATGATCCTTGTGATCATTCCCCCAATCATCCTGCAAACACAAGAATCAATAAGGAGACATTTAATTGTGATGAGCACCATAGAAGTCATGATGGTGGAAAGGTAAGGTCAAAATCATGCTCTTTCTAACCTCTTTCCTTTCGAGAAAATGCCTTGTTAACCACGTATGTAATCTTGCTTGTCTGATCAACTCTGCATGGCACTCAGACGTCGAACCTATTTACTTTATCATATAAATATTAGAAGCTAATAGAATAGCTATGAACTCATCATATTAATCCGTATAATGCACCCTATCTCAATTGTTGCTCTTCTTTCTTTCAGGTATCATCATCCCCATCGAAGGATTGGCTGAATCCATCATTACAGGCACATGTTCCTCTCGTTGATGTAGATAAGGTATCTCTGATTGATAGTTCTTTGGATTTGCAGGTTTGCAA